TTCACTATATCATTGTATTTGGCTGGCTTATTTCTACATTTCTCTGTATTAAGTTCGCAAAAGGTGTAACATTCAAGTCACTTGTCATGGTCCCTCGTCGTCTTTTTTAGTTGTGGGACGAAACGACGCCGTTTTTGGTGAGAGTAGTTTCCACTATAACAACCTAGACTTGATCTCTACGTTTTATCGACTTAAACCTTAAACCGTAGATCTCAACGCCGCCATAAGTTAAACGATAACTCTGGCAATATTCTGCCGGCAAATCAAATCGACGGTTAGTTGTTCAGACCCTAACTAATTTCTTTCTCAATTGTTGTCTTTTTACCTAAGTGATTTTTAACCGCTTCGAAACCCRAGAATCCGATCAAGATTTTAGGGTTTCTTAAGAACTTGATCAGGATTTTCATTTTGATGTTGTTGTTGCTCATGGTCTAGGGATGGGATGCGATAGAATCAGCGGATTGCCGGATTGTTTGATTACTCAGATACTCTTAAGCCTTACGACCAAAGATTCGGCTAGGACAAGTGTTTTATCGACCAGATGGAGAAATGTTTGGTACAATGTGATCGGTTGTGATGATAGAATCAGCACATTACCTGATTCCTTGCTAGCTAAGATACTCGTATACCTTCCGATCAGCGATTTGGTTAAGACTAGCGTTTTATCGAAAAGATGGGAATTTCTCTGGCTAAAGGTTTCCGGATTAGACATAAACGTCATTGATTTCCTTCCTTACGGAAAAGCATTGGAGAAATGATGGAAAGATTTCTCGAGTTTAATCGCGGAGGATCACGCTTGCAAAAGTTTAAGATAAAGTTAGCCAATTATGACAATGCGTGTGGCAATCACATCAACTATATTATAAGAGTCATGGAGTGGATAGCCGAATTGGCTCATCGGGGAGTTGAACATCTTGATGTTGAGATCCAAACGACTAGATCTCAACGTCAAAATGTTTTCAACGAAAGGCGTCCTCGTGCTATAGAATTCATGCCTAAGTATATGTATGTGAGCAAGACACTAGTGTCTTTTAAAGCTCGTAAACGTAGGGCTTGAGGATACCAAGTTTGATGTTTCTCTACCTTGTCTCAAGATCATGCATCTAAAAATGATTGGTTACAAGACTAATAATGCTTTTGTTATCATTGAGAACCTCATCTTTGCCTCTCCTGTTCTTGAAGATCTTACCTTGGTAAACAGTTTTGATGATTTCTTAGAAACTCTGTCTCAAGACTCTGAAAATCTTTCGGTCAAAGATTGATTGGAAGATATTGTAAGCTCAGC